TGGGACAGAGAGACAGGAGGGCAGGAAAAGGTCAAACTTGCTTCCGAGTCCTTCATTTTGAGGTATTGTTTTCTGAGCCCCAAACCACCCTCATATGTTGGTTGTGAGGACTAAATGAGAAAATGAATGAAAACCTGTAAATGCAATGTATGCTGCACAGTCAGCTCTCAATAGATAAAAGCTCTCTGGGAGCCCCTTTTATGATTATTACAGAGTTGCTGGCTTAGAGATTACTTCTATTGTATTATCTTTACTCAGTCAAAATCCCCGCTTCTATTTATTTCACCAACTCTCCACCATATTGCCATGTTCCACTGTTTTTTTCTAAACTCACCCTCCCCTGCAAAATCTCAGCATTAACAGTAGAAGGATAAATAAACTAAGAGCTAGGACCACAAAAAGCCTGTTTTCCAGCCTGAATGTGAAATTGCTTCGTCTGTGTGTAAAGAGCTGCCATTTTCCACACCAGAGGAAAGTTTTTCTAACAAGCTATGTAATCTAAATGACACCTGCAACAAGGCACTACAATTAAACTTTGCAAAGTGGAATTAAAAGCACTTGCTAAAGTCATGCATTTGAACGTATTCACCAAAGACTGATGCCAATTCCTAGTTGGCAGTTTTACCCCAAGCTTTATATCCAGATTGCTTTGCTACTATTGCTGAATAGTAATCTGGCAGCAAATCTTTGAAATATTTTCAAGGAATAAATCCCTCTTGCTATCATATTCAAATACCAATGGGTTAAGAGATTACCCCTAACGTGTGAAAAGTCTCCAACCAGGGACTCTAGAGCTGTCTACAATAATCAGGTGGAGAGGTGTTATTTGCATATTGACCAGGAAACAGGTTAGTGGTTTCTTCTAAGTAGCCAATGCTCACGTCTAAAAAGCTGCATAAAGGCATGTATTTGTGAATGATTTGCCAGGTGAATGGTGAACTGCCTTCCAAATACAGATCATTAGTTCCGGCTTCCTTCTTGCGTCCGTTTTGAAGAATCCCTATAAGTAATGTCTGCCTTTGACCTTCTTAAGGCAGATTTTCTCTTCTTATCCCTAGAGACTCTATCCCATTATGTTGCTCACTCTCTCCTACTCCTCTTCTCCTTTTTCCATTATCACCTGTACTACAATTCTCACCTTCTTATAACCAACTCTCCTGTCTTACTTTTTCACTTCAATTAGCCCTCCGCACAAATTCAACATGAAAATAAAGAAAAAAAATTTAAAATAGCATATAGCCACCTAAAATGTGCTGTGGGAAATGAAACTGTCACTGTAGGCATCATTAGCAAATGACCTAAACATGCTACTGTGCATGTCTATTTGTTTTTAAACCCTTCCCTATGCATCTGCAGCCTTCGAAAGAATAAAAAGAAATTTCCACAATAATATCACAAAAGTCTGCTACGATTTATATAATAAAAGTGTTCCAGAAAAGTTGCATTTAAATCAAATCCTGTTTTAATGCAGAAAGAAAGCTAACTATTTAAAGAAACACTATGGCATATATGGAGAAATAATTTCATTAAAGCAAAGGATAACCTTCTAGTTTATCAGTTTTGAATATCTGGATCTTTTTATTCTTGACCTTCTTAAAGCAAATAGCACCTATGTACCTTTAAGAAACAGGTACTGAAAACTTGGTTTTACTGAAGTTATATTTCTCAGAATTATACATTTAAAAAGAATAGTCAGAAAATAAGCTTTAGAAATTTGACAATCTTTTAAAATTTGCATAAGGGAAATACACCATTTAAATAACCTCTATTTACATGATTTTGTAATTAACCAACTCTATTAATGTCATATTGAAATTCTTATCCCATGCTAAACTCAAAACACATATGAATGGTTACTCTTTAAATAATCCTAACCTTATATTTTGAATTATGAGAGGACAATCTGTTTGCTAATTGTTTTCATATTATTGAGCATACAAAGCATGGTATAAGTTATATAATGTTCCAAAACAGAATAAACCTTCACAGAGCAACCTCTTGAACTTCCATACCAAGTAGCCATTTTGTTTCTACATCAGGCATAACATTTGAACTGTGTGAATAAATACACAAACATGATACTTTCTTATATGAATGATGACCGTTGACCCAAGGATAATCATAAACACATTTTGAATTATCTTTCCCAGCTCCTAGCTTGTTGCCTGGCATGTAACATGTACTCAGTAAATATTTATTTAAGTGGTAAGTGAATAAATGACTGATTTCCCCAGTTGAAGTTGCTTTACCCACACACCTTGACACATTTTCCTTGGTTAACATGATCTCTATTTTCATGGCAGTTCTTAGAAATTTAAAGAAAACAAAATGGGACCTATAAAAATCGTGTGTGTGTGTGTGTGTGTGCATGGGTGAACTAACATACTCACACAATAATCAAACCTATGACTTTGACTTGTTAGCACCATTCTCCTCTCTAGTGTCGCTCAAAAACATGATCCTTGGAAAGTGTAAAACAGAATCACCTGGACAAAAAGGTAAATTCCTAGTCTAACTGATGTACTAAATTAGAATCTAAGGGAGAAACTTGAGTATCTGTATTTAGAGATCTTCATCTTTATCCTCTCTGGGTCCCTTCACATGATTCATATTAAATTTTGAGATCCTCTGCAAGGTATTAAAATAAAATTTTAGATCTGTAATTCAACTATATTAAATGTTTAAAATAAGTAAATTAACATCTTATAAAATACACAAAATAAGTACCTCTAGCTCTCTTTTCCAGAACCTAAAATGAAATGAAAGAAGCAAATGTGTTTTCAACAGAACCCATTTGATGTGAGTGAAAAGGAGGTTTGGTGTTTACTTTATTCTGGTTCAACTTAAAACTCAAGCCAAATACTATAATGTTACAAGATTCAGCAAATGATCCGAAATGGAAGTGCTCTGCAAGCCTCTCATAAGGATTAGTGACTGTGGCCAAAGTGATGATGCTGCGACACTTTGTGCATAGTCAGGTCACTTATTAATAATGTACAACTGCCCATGATTGAATTTTCTGCCATGAATGAGGCAGGGAAGTCTAGTTCATGTTGAAGAAATCAGAAACTAATCAAAAGCAGAAAAACTTTGCTATTTGGAATTCGCCCAATATGGTAGTTATTTTGAAAGCTCATGGGGGGGGTAGTTATTTTGAAAGCTTATTTTGAAAGAACGTGCAATTCTAATCAAAATAATTATTTAAACTTTCATAGAAGGCACTCTACAAAATCAAACTAAGAAGTAAAACTATCATTTATTAGTATAGAGAGTGAAGTAACATATATGTATATTATATATTAGTTTATTTAAAATATATATTTTGTGTTCCCTGTGCTAACATTTAGAATTTTGAAAAAGACAAAAACAATTAATCTCAAGGATCAAAAACCTAATTAAATATATGGGTTATAGCAATGAACTTAGCAAGTATTAGTTAGTTGACTGATTTTAACACTGTCTCAAAAAGGTCAGCCAGACCTTTCTGAACCTTTTTAAACAAAAATAAAATAGAAGAAAAAATGTATTGCTAGTATTAGCAAGAGTATGTTATAAATTAACCAACTGGCTGATGTTGGCATTAGATGGTTAAACAGGTAATGCTCAAGTGCATTAATCATAAGTCAATTAATGCGATCAATATTGCAATTGTCTAGGTAATTTCAAAGTTTATCATGGCTTGGATATTATCCACAATAGAAATATGTATGCATATACATACAAACATACACACACATACTTAATTGTTTATATTTAAGGTATACAACAAGATGTTTTTGTTATACATATACATAGTAAACTGATTACTACAGTCAAACAAATCAGCATATCAACCTCATATGTTTATTTTTGTGTTAAGAGCACCTAAAATCTACTCTCTTAGCAAATTTTCAACATGCAATATGATTTTTTTTTTATTTTTGAGACAGAGTCTTGCTCTGTTGCCCAGGCTGGAGTGATGTGGCGTGATCTCAGCTCACTGCAAACTCTGCCTCCTGTGTCAAGCAATTCTCCTGTCTCAGTCTCCCTAGTAGGTGGGATTATAGGTACACGCTACCATGCCTGGCTAATTTTTTTTTTTTTTTCTTTTTTCAGTAGAGACAGGGTTTCCCCATGTTAGCCAGGCTGGTCTCAAACTCCTGACCTCAGATGATCCACCTGCCTTGGCCTCCCAAAGTGCTGGGATTGATTACAGGCATGAGCCACTGTGCCAGCCTCAGCATACAATATTATTAACTACATGCCGTACATTAAATCACTAGACTTATTCATCCTATATTACTGCAACTTTGTATGTACCCTTTGACCTACACTCCTTATTCCCCATTCTCTGTCCCTATCCACTTTTCTACTCTCTTTTGCAACACATTCAACTTTTTTTTAGGTTCCACATGTGAGATTATAATACACATGACACACATAATAATAGGAAAATTAGTCAAGATTTGTTCGTGAGCAATAGTAAGTAGATTTTTTTGTCATACAGTTTCTTAGGTTCCATCACATTTGTTGTAAGTGATATCTTTTTGGTATTAGATTCTGTCTTATGTCTCTGAAAATTACTTCCTAAAATTCTCTAACAGGTAAGAATATTCTAAGTTTATTCTTCCACTAGTTTACATTTTGTTTGTACTTCAGATTTAAAACACACATATGCATGTTCTTCATTTGGAGTTGCTTTAAGAATCACTAGAAGCTCACAATGACATCACTCACTTATGGAGAATTTTGCATAAATGATAATTTGGATGCAGTCTAAGAAGATTTCATTCCAAAAATCTAACAGACTCTCTTTCCAAAATCAGCCTTCACCTACAAGGAGATTCCACAAATGGGTTAAGTCAACATTCTACAGTGGTTCCACTATATACTTTCTGAGATGTTTAGTAATAATGATACCTTGAAGAGTTCAGAACCTTTCATAAAGACAGAGAAGAGATACACAGCAATTAGGCCCTTGTTCTCTAAATTCTGTTTTCATATTCCATATGTTACTTTTACTCAGTACAACTCATTAATAGCAAGTTTCTCAACTGTTTGATTTGCAGGCAATTCTAAATTCACAGAAAGTTGACTCTGAAAAAAACTCTTGCTTCCCAAACCAAATTATACTTAAAATCTCATTTGCCATAATTTTGTAGAACGAATTCCTACCTGTAACTTTCAATTCAGTTGTTCGTCTTACAAGTTTTCCTTCATATTTAAGTTCACATGTGTAATTTCCTCCATCTTCCTCTTGAACTTCTTGGATCAGAAGAGCATTTCCTTTCTGTATTATTATGCTTCTCCACATTTTTGGCTTGCATTCCTGCAGATAAAATATTTGCAAGTAAGCAAAAAATAAAAGTTCATGGACTACATCTCAGTACCGGCAAGTTAGTACTTTTACTTTTTTGTATTCTTCTCTTTTGTTTTCAAAATATGTAACTAAGGAGTCAAGTCAATTACCAAGAAAAATCACAAATGTGTACTATTGTATCCAATTCTAATATCACAACTATTGCACTATAAACCACTTTAAAGGCCTGACCCCAGGAGCAAGAAGTCTTTAGAAACATTCTGAAAAAAATAAATAGAATAGCATAGAAGCTCCCCAAATACAAGAGAGGTATAGCAGAACCTTAACAGTCACTAAGTATTATTATAATGTCCTGGTTCTTTCTATTTGACAGGGATATTTCCTAAGAGTCCTAAGAGGATATGGTTCACTTAGCCACTTAGTATACTTTAGGGGAGTCTTAGGCATTATTAAACATTCATAATAGGATTTTATATTGGCAATGAAGTTTACAATTGTTTCATTAATTATTCCTTATTATGAAAACTAATACTAGTACTCCAGAATCTCCCTTCTTTAATCAAGAAATCCATGTGGGGGTAGAGAGGGAAAGAATATAAAAAATTAAGGACTTCTCTAGAAACATAGCTAGGTAAAGTGAGGACATGCTTTGTTATAGTAACAGCCTGGAGATATCATCCACTTACTTTCTGAGTTCAATGATATACAACCACACAACAAGATTTGGGTTTTGAAGCCAATTATCTTACTCTCCTGATAGGAATGTAAGGGAATCTTGCGACCGAGATTGGACTTCCCTAGAAAGGAATGTTTAATACTTTTCCAGAAAGTGACAAGGATATAACAATAGCCAAGTATGTAAGAATATTCAGGCAATTATCTTTGACTTTTAGGAATTTTTTCAGACTACTTATTAGATATTGCCCCATTCTGGCTATCATTCACCTCACATGTCCTACCAAAGTGGTAGCCAAATGCTGTACAAACATCAGTTGAGGTGTAGGGGATAGCTGTTAGGGAGTGTTGAATATTCAAGGTAATAAATATTTTATTGCCAGGCATGGTGGTTCACGCCTTTAATCCCAGCACTTTGGGAGGCTGAGGCAGGCGGATCACTTGAGGTCAAGAGTATGAGACCAGCCTGGCCAACATGGTAAAACCCTGTCTCTACTAAAAATACAAAAATTAGCTGGGCATGGTGGCACGTGCCTGTAATCCCAGCTACTTGAGAGGCTGAGGCAAAAGAGTCTCTTGAATCCAGGAGGCAGAGTTTGCAGGGAGCTGAGATCATGCCATTGCACTGTATTCTGGGTAACAAGAATGAGACTCTGTCTCAAAAAAAGAAAGTATTTTATCATGTAAATTCTGTCAGTCAGTTAAGGCAATAAATAAATTGATTTTGAGGTAGATGATGTGAACAATAGTTGAGAGCACTTTTTACTTTCCCACTATGATGTATACAACATCTACATCTACCACTCCTCACCCCTCACCTCACGTCCATACACATATCTTAAACATTCACGTAAAGTTAGAATCTGTGCTGACTCTCAATCCCCAGCTGTGAGTGCTTGTGTATTTGTGTGCATAAGTATGTGTGTGTACATGTGTGTGTGAGTGATCTGAGACAGCAAGTACCCATATTTTTCTGTAACATTTTTTTCTTTCATGTTAGCAGGAGTTTTGACAACAAAACACACAAAGTGGTGCTTAAGTTCACAGGTATAATATTTAAGAGATAAGCTTGCTTTATATTCTATACAACTACCCACACACATTGTCAGAGAGTAAATAAAACTAATACTATTGAGGGCATGCAGATATAAGGCTGCTTTACTCCCTAGGGTCTTCCTGAAGAACAGTTAAGGGTCTGTCTGAAATTATATTACATACCATGTCTGGCAAGGTTTATCACCTATATGAGATTTGCTTCTGAGTTAAATCTTGGGATATAAGGTTTCTGGGAAAATGAAGAAGAAAGTCTGAACACAGAGAAAAAGAAACAGCCCAGCTGCCACTGCCGTCATACAATAATAATCCTCAATTATTTTCGCATTGCTTCCAACTCTGATAGCCTCAGATTTCTAAAGAATCGTTCTGAAGGTCATTAAACAAAAATATGGTCCCTCTGGGCATTTTGAGAGGAAAGGAAAATGAAAACTGAGCTGCTGCGCTTTCACACAACAGTGGTGGGGGTGGGAAAATAAGCCCACACACTCATTCAAAGACAAAAGGTGTCATTTTCTAATGTCATTTTGGGGAAAGTCCATATGCAATTAATTCTAAGAATTTTCATTTTCTCTGCTCATTGTTGTGCTTTTTTCCCCCAGGAAGTAAAAACTAAAGAGTGTATAGGAATTAGAAAATAACTCCTGGTGAAGAACAGCCTGGAATCTGTATATGTTCTTTGGGATAGATCACGACAGTCCTATGTGCTTTCCAAGCTGCCATATAGCCTTATAAAGGGTTCTTTGTATCCAAGAGAGGACTTTTATTTTTTTTTTTAATTGTGGCATAAGAAAATGTTGTCTTCAGGTCACCAACATCCCTCTGGAGACAATGTAGTATAGATGAAAAGGCAAATGGCTTTAGGATAAGACATGTCTAGGTTAAAATGTGGGGTTCCCCCAAGTTCTGTGATCTTCACCAAATTTGCTTATGTGAATAATATTCACTACCATGTGAGCAGCCAGAATTCAGAGGCTTGCAGATTTATTCATTACATTCTTGTTGGGCAGCACTATAAGGAGTGGTCATACAACACAGACAATTCCTAAAGGTTCCCAAACCTTTCTCACACTAGATTATATTTCTTTAGAACCTCCAGTTCTGCTTGGTGAAAACTGGTGCTAATGAACAAATCAGATAGAAAGAAATATTCACTAATTGGCTAACTATCAACCACAAAATAATACTTTAACTTATGGAAAATGTATGGCTCCTAGAGGCCAAACACTAATTTTAGTAGATGGGAAGAGGAACTATATTTTGGTCAGAAGAGCTTTTATATTACCTTTCCCATCACACTACATAGATGATCATCCTGCCTCCACTAATACGCCTTTTGCAAAGTTACTTTGTTGGCTATTCTACCTCAGTCTGGATGCTTATATAAACTCTCAGAAGTCTTCCAGGTTCTTGGTTCCATTATCGGCACTCTTTCTCCCTAGCGGCTGGCTGCTAGGCTTACTGCTGTCATTGCTTCTCTCCTGCTCACTAACTCCCTAATGAACAGACAGTACTGCCATATGTAGTAGTCTCTTCTCATGCTGCTATGCAGAACTACCCAAGACTGGGTAATTAATAAAGAAAAGAGGCTTAATTGACTCACAGTTCTGCATGGCTGGGGATGCTTCGGGAAACTTACAATCATGGAGGAAGACACCTCTTCACAGGGTGGCAGGAGAGAGAATGAGTGCCCAGCAAAAGGAGAAGCCCCTTATAAAACCATCAGATCTCGTGAGAACTCACTCACTATCGTGAGAACAGGATGGGGGAAGCCACCCCCATGATTCAATTATCTCTACCTGGTCCCTCCCATGACACATGGGGATTATGAGAACTACAAATTCAAGATGAGATTTGAGTACAGACACAGCCAAAGCATATCACCATACCCCACTGCTCCAGATGTGTTTAATTCTAGTAACACACTAGGCAAAGAATTTGAAGTGTATAGGTCAAGCCTCAAGATGGTTGTCTGAGGCCAGGACAAACCACCAAAGGCTCAAATTTGAGCAGTCCTCTAATACTGAACTCACTGTGTGATCCCCCTACTATTTATTGTCCCTGGGACTATTAAACCTCATCAACTTGAAAATTTTGCTGAGAGCCCGTCTTGCCAGAGTTGATTAAGTTCAATAATCAGATCCTTTTTGTGGCCTGGCTATCCCCTCATAAAGTAGTTTGTTGTAGGACATCCTTACCCAGTCAACATAATATAAACACTTAAAGCCCAGCTTTTTTCCCCTCCCTCCCCACCTTCCTAGGTGGTAAATGTCCCGTGCCAGTAGTTGCTAGGTTGAAAGCCCAGAATGCACAACTGAGACATCTGTTTACTAAGAACCCTAAAGTAACCTGTTGCCAGCCAAATTTGGATCTTGGAGTTTCCAACCTGAAATATTTACCACTGTACTCATAGTCTACTTCTGAGATATCATCATTATACCTACAGGTGTTTTCTAAATCCATTTGATTTGGTGGTTGTGGTTACTTTGTGCCATTCAGAGCACATGACTCATTCCTCATGGCAAGAATATCAGGAAGATTGATTTTAATATTTCTTCTGATTCTGAGGTTTACCCTCAAAGCAGCTATGCAACCATAAACTAATCATGTAACTTCTAGTCCTTAAATGCCTTTTTTCGAATACCCAACATTCACCCCTTAGGCCAACTTTTCTCCTTCCCCCGGGAGACTGTACTCTCCCAAAGGGCATCTAAACATCTGTTTAAAAATCTTTAGGGGGCCGGGCGCAGTGGCTCATGCCTGCAATCCTAGCATTTTGGGAGGCCAAGGCGGGTGGATCATGTGAGGTCAGGAGTTCGAGGTCAGCCTGATCAACATGGATAAACTCCTTATCTACTAAAAATACAAAATTAGCTGGGCATGGTGGCGCATTCCTGTAAACCCAGCTACTCGGGAGGCTGAGGCAGGAGAATCATTTGAACCTAGGATGCAGAGGTTGTGGTGAGCCAAGATTGCACCATTGCACTCCAGCCTGGGCAACAAGAGTGAAACTCCATCTCAAAAGAAAAAAAAAAAATCTTTATGGAAACTGAACTGTCTGCAGTTTAAAGATGGAGGAGACAATTAGGAATACGATTGCCAATTAGGTATGAACCTTGTCCTTTTCAACCTATCTCTACTCCAAATGCCTAGGATAACCAACTACAAGGAGTCCTTCCCTTCCAAGCTCTATTTCTCCAACTTTCTACCTTCACAGTCTTAATATTGTTATTGGTAGCCCACAGTGGTTAAGAATATAAGTTCTAGACTAAACACTTGTA